ATCAATTCTGACTTTATATCTCGCAATTCTGACTTTATAACACGCAATTGCGACTTTATATCAATCAATTCTGACTTTATATCTCGCAATTCTGACTTTATAACACGCAATTGCGATTTTATATCACGCAATTCTGACTTTATATCTCGCAATTGTGAGAAAAAAAGTCAGAATTGTGAGATAAAAAGTCGCAATTACCTTTTTTATTTTTCATTCTGTGGCGGAAACAAGCTTCCATAGTTTTGCATGAACCTGAAGTGGTCTAGTCCCAGGAAATCCACATCATGAGATGTGACATCAGATCTGAAGTCACATCACACATGTATGACGTATCATTTTAGCCGACCCAGAGAAAAACCAGCCCACACGGCTCAAGTTGTACAAGCGTCGGCTTGTGTGTGTATGCAGGGACTCTAGAATTGGTTGCCGCTGGGATCCGTTAACTGAAAGCTGTAAATTATTCATCAACTCTGGGCTTAGCTGATCATAATCCTGCTACTCTTGCATTTGCAGAAATGGCAAACGTCGGTCATAATGCAAAACTGTGTCATTTAGTGGGTTTATCATTGGAGAGTTAGAGAGAGAGTTATGTAGATTACAGTACTTCTGCGAAAGCCATGGATCTCTGAGTTCACAACAATACTGATATTCACTCATTTTTAGAGCCTCTTGGTATTTTGCATGTTTTCTGACTGTGTTGATTGTGTGGGAAATGTGACCAAATATGTAGTAAAACAGCGAGTTTTCTTGGAAGCTGAAAGCATAATCAAATTAGTAACACTTTACAATAAGGTCCCATTATGCAACATTAGTTAATGCAATAACTAAAATGAGTCATTTGTTGCAGTATTTATTTATTTATCTTTGTTAACATTAGTTAATAAAATTCAACTGTTCATTGTTAGTTCTATTAAATAATGTTAACCAATACAACTTTTAATTTTAGTTTTGTAGGAAATGTTGAAGGTAACACTTTGGTTTAGTGTCCAATTCTCACTATTAAGTTGCTTATTATCATGCATTTTACTAGGATATTGGCTGTTTATTAGGACTTATAAAGCACATTATTAATACCTTATTCTGCTTGACCTTATTCTACATCCCTTGATCTTATTAACTATTATTAAGCAGTAATTAGTTTACTGAGGCAAAAGTCATCATTAATATTGAGTTAATAGTGAGAATTGGACCCTAATCTAAAGTAGCTAAGATTAATAAATGCTTGTTAATAAGTTAAATAATGTTAACACAAGTAATTATTGTAAAGTGTGACCATCAAATTAGACTAAGTCTTTAGTAAACGAACATACTGAATGACTACTGGGCATCAGAATTCTGTGTAATTCTGTGCATGCAGGTTCTGTGTGTGTGTGTGTGTGTTTGTGTGTGTGTGTGTGTGTGCGTGTGTGTGTGTGTGTGTCGTACTGAAGCGGTGTAGTGTGTCCTTGTCTTTATTGATCTGCAGGTCTCATGAGTGCTGCAGTGAAGGCACTGCGGAGGAGACACACTGCAGATGCTGGAGTTTACTGGAGTTTACTGGTTATGATCACAGTGTGGCTCAGGATTTACTCAAGTACTTTAATAACAGTTCCTTAGGATGGATGTGAGCGCTAGCTTTAATAAACCGTATAAAACGTTTTGTCAGCTAACCAAAAATCGAACGTGTTAACATATACACTCACCGGCCATTTTATTAGGTACCCCATGCTAGTAACGGGTTGGACCCCCTTTTGCCTTCAGAACTGCCTCAATTCTTCGTGGCATAGATTCAACAAGGTGCTGGAAGCATTCCTCAGGGAGTTTGGTCCATATTGACATGATGGCATCACACAGTTGCCGCAGATTTGTCGGCTGCACATCCATGATGCGAATCTCCCGTTCCACCACATCCCAAAGATGCTCTATTGGGTTGAGATCTGGTGACTGTGGAGGCCATTTTAGTACAGTGAACTCATTGTCATGTTCAAGAAACCAATTTGAAATGATTAGAGCTTTGTGACATGGTGGAAGTAGCCATCAGAGGATGGGTACATGGTGGCCATAAAGGGATGGACATGGTCAGAAACAATGCTCAGGTAGGCCGTGGCATTTAAACGATGCCCAATTGGCACTAAGGGGCCTAAAGTGTGCCAGGAAAACATCCCCCACACCATTACACCACCACCACCAGCCTGCACAGTGGTAACAAGGCATGATGGTTCCATGTTCTCATTCTGTTTACGCCAAATTCTGACTCTAACATCTGAATGTCTCAACAGAAATCGAGACTCATCAGACCAGGCAACATTTTTCCAGTCTTCAACTGTTCAATTTTGGTGAGCTCTTGCAAATTGTAGCCTCTTTTTCCTATTTGTAGTGGAGATGAGTGGTACCCGGTGGAGTCTTCTGCTGTTGTAGCCCATCCGCCTCAAGGTTGTGCGTGTTGTGGCTTCACAAATGCTTTGCTGCATACCTCGGTTGTAACGAGTGGTTATTTCAGTCACTGTTGCCCTTCTATCAGCTCGAACCAGTCTGGCCATTCTCCTCTGACCTCTGGCATCAACAAGGCATTTCCGCCCACAGTACTGCCGCTTACTGGATGTTTTTTCTTTTTCGGACCATTCTCTGTAAACCCTAGAGATGGTTGTGCG